AGCCCTGACATTCCAGGGGTTCAGCCTGAGTCCCACTGCAGGGTGGTCCTGAGAGATGCACCAGGCACTGGGATGGAGCAGGCTCCAGGTCATGCTGGAGCAGTGCCCTCTAGGCCCAGCTGAGAGGCACCTCTGGGGTGTCTTCAGGAGGTGTTTCCAAGCCCGGGGCTGTGGGCCCATCAGAAGAGATCTGGGGATCTCTGGGCCTAGAGATCCACCCCAACTTCCTCCCTCCTCTCCCTTTGGGACTGGCTTACAGGAGAAAGAACCAGAGTTACTGGGAAACTTGAGAGCACTGATCCTCAAATGCCAGTGTGGGCTTCACAGGCCCCCACCCTAAGTTCTGGTGAGGCAGAGCTGTGGAGCTTAAGAGCTGCATCTCTAGCAAGCCCTGGGATGATGCCAACACCGCTGGGCAGAGAGCTGACCTGGAGAATCAGCCTCAAGTAGAGGCTCCTCCGCAGCCCCAGTCAGCCCCGGAGCTCAGGGTGGGCAGCACGGTCTTTCAGGACAGGCCCTTTATCTTGTCTTTCCTGGCTGTCCTCATCACAGACAGATTATTTATTTAGCCAACTGTGGCTCAGCCTCTGTGGCTGCATTCAAGAAACTAATAATCTAGAGACACAGAGACCCCTAGGGGCTGTGACAGGGCCACAGAAGTTCAGGGGTGCTGAGAGTCCTGAAAAGACCTTGGCCTCAGTCCTGGGGAGCCTGGAGGGATGCGTGGGGGAGAAGCCCGGAGAGCACTGGAAAGATGGGAGGATTGGCTCCTATTAATTGTGGGTTTATTTGCTGTCTAGCAGCGGTTCAGATCCTGGAAGTGCAGGCGTTTTAACCCTCACAGCACCTCTGACAGGGGGATAGCTGTCACTGGAGGAGAGTTAGACAATGTGGCCACTTTCCCAGGCTGGGGACATCTTGGCCTCCAACCACAAGGAGGGAGGAGTGGGACATTCCAGAGGGACAGCGTGGCACACGCACAACAGCCAGCTCAGTCATGGACCCAGACTGCATGCAGGCTTTCCTTTGGGATGTTCATGCCCCTTTCATGAAACACACCTTACGCAGGCACAAGAGGGGGATCAGCAGTGAGCCTGTCCCTGGGCTCTGGCCTCATCTGCCTAAACAGGGGTTGAGCCACATTGGCTGCCTGAGGGCTCTCTGAGTGCAGCTGCCCCAGTCATGAGTGGGCACCAGATGGCAGAGACTGCAGGTCTGGCTGATATGGGGACCCCAGAGAGCCCAGACTGTGAGGGGCCTAAGACTCACGTACAGCTATAGTGGGGGTTCTGTTTACAGATTCACTGCAGTGAAGGTCAGCCCTGGAGAGAGGCAGAACTGAGTGCCGAGGGCAGTGGTGGGCACAACTTCTAGGACTTATGGTGACCGTCACATCTTGGCCCTGGACAGTCTCTGTATGACTCTGGGGTTCACTGACCTCATCAACTAGATCACGAACCCCCAGGCCAGAGACCACCCTTCTTCTGAACTTGCTGCTGGCCCTTGCTTGCATGGGATTAGAAAAGTCACTCTGATCTAGAGGATAGAGCCAGAGAAGATGAGCCTCCAGCAAGGGGTACTCTAGTTAGACTGAAGGAAGCCTTGGCCTGGCAGGAAGCAAGCAGCAGCTAGTTCTGGGAAGCATCCTTCTGTCTGTGACAGTTTGCCTGTCCCCTCCTTGTTCACTTCCCTTCTCCTCTTGTGCTCACCACTCCCTCCCATTTGTGTCATTGTTACCTGTGTGGGCCAAAAGCTCACCAGCTTGACCCAAAGTCAGGGGGCCTTTGAACATGGACACAATTCACCCCAGGTTTGCTAAGCCCTCAACCTGCTGGACAAGAAAGAGCCCAGCCTCCCGCCAGGGCACTTCCAGCCAGACAGAGCAGAGAGCCAAACCAATGTCTAACTCTGAAACAGAGCCACGAGCCACTGGCAGAAATCAGTAGGGAATAGAGAGGCAGAGGCAAGCAAAAAATGGAAGAATCCAGAAGTGACAGCAGACTGGCTTGGCTGGAAAGGCGCAGCGAGAAGGGTCTGCTGAGCTTACGGTGGGTCAGCATTGGTTCTCCGGGCCCTGAATCAGGCTGAACGATTCGAACTCCGTGGTATGAGCAGTGAGAAGTGATGGGAGGTTTTACAGGAAGGGCGTGACATTGTCTGGGCTGGGACCAGAAGAGCTTCTAGATTGTGCTGATTGTAATAGGATCTTATAACAGTCACCTGGTCTTGATTCTGAGTTCTGAGGCCTCAGGATTCCAAAGGGGAACATTACACTTTTGGTGAAGTCTGTCCCAGCAGCTCACCTGGGGCACTCTGGAGTCTCCTTTTCCTTTTTTCTTATTGCATTCATCTCTTTTTAAACATATTTTTATCTTCACAATGCTTCTTATCCTCAAGCCCAATCCAACCCCAGTGAACAAGGGCCCCAGCTGGGCTCCTGTTTTGCTTGCTGGACACCCAGTGTACAGCACCGTGCCTGGATCCCAACAAACTCATCCATCTACCGACTAAATCAGGAGGAAATCACTGCCCCACAGGAGCCAGAAGAGTGCTCTACTCTCTCTGCCCTGGCCTGCTCCCCAGCTTTCGCAAGCCTCCCAGTGGCAAATCTCTGAGAAAACCAGAAACAGCTGTGCTCTCATCCTTGCCAGTAATCTGGGGAGATTTGGACTCTTCCTCCCTCCCTTGCCAAAATCACCACTGCTTTCCTTCACCTCAGAGCGAGGCCAAGCAAGAAAAATCGTACCTAAGCAAAGGAACGTTTTGCAGGAGCCTGAAGGAGCCCTCTGACAGTCTAAGCAAGCACGCGCATGTTGCAGACACACCGGGAAGGGCATTCAGTTCCAGATTGACCTCGCTACACCCATGAAGTGTGAGTTCTCCTCTCCACCTCCTTTTCACAAATGGAAAAATAAAGACTCAGAGAAGTCGTTGATATTGGCCAAGGCTTTCCTGCCAGAACAGAAGCCTGGTTTTAAACACAGGTCTGCCCCACTCCAACCCTGGTGCTTCATGGTACACAGTACAAGAAGCAGCTGAGACAGGATGGAGCAGGCCGAGTTCTCTGTCCAAGGTGCTGATTGTGTGGTCTCTGCCAGACTCAGGCTGTCCAGAAACTATGGGAGCCCAAGCACTGGCCACCTCCCAGCGGTGAATGAGGACAATGACTTCACGTCTGCCACCTGGCCTGAACTTGTCATAGTGCCACAGTTCCTGCCTGTTCTGGGCAATGGCCACGTGTTCTCTCTGCACTCCGATGTGGACAGGGCAGTCTGGGCTCACTGCATTCCAATCTCAGGGGACCCAGCACCCTAAGGCCAGGTCTTCTCAGGGCTGGACACAGCCAGGGAGGCAGAGGAGCTTAGGTCAAATCTGTAGCTGTGGGACTGCACTTCTACACCTCAGGAATTCAGCTCACCCACCAAGAGGGTGGAAACTCTTTATAAATGTTACCATTTCCTTATTCTGTGCAAGGCAAACAATATATATCTAGTTTCTATCTTCAAGGCTCTTAAAGGGTAGGTTAGGAGATAATCTATTAAATGGGTCATAGGAAGCCATGGAGTAATTATTGATCAGGGAATATGATAACTACACTGAGCTCTAGGGAAGCTAATCAGGCAGCATGGGGGGGGGTAATTGGGAGAGAACAGACCTCTGTAATAATCAGAGCTAGCATATTAAGCATTTATTGGTTGCTAGACACTGCTTCAAGTACTTTGAAGATATTAACTTACTGATCTTCACAAAAGCACGAGAATATTATTATCCCCATTTTACAGATAAAGAGACTGAAGTATGTAGAAATGGGAAAGCTGGCAAAGTCCCAGGCTTTAGCTTTTAACCACTGTTCAGTGTTGGTTCTCAGAGCTATCTAGATGGAGGACACCAGGATCTGGCACAGGGCTGAGCAGTGAGCACAGCTGGGGGATGGAAGTCAGGTGCAACCGGGGCCCAGGGTGCTTGCCCCAGAAGGCTGTCCCAAGACAGGGCCAGGAAATGATAAGGGAGACATGAACAGCAAACACTTTGCTCTGCACATAGCTAAGATGACTTTTATCTATAATAGCAACACTCCCAATGTTCTTGGCCCACAGTCCTTACAAGATAACTTCTTTTATTTAAGAGAGATTTTAGACACTCTCAAGTCTTACCATAGTCACAGCTTCCCCCATCAGCCTCCTGGACTGTGTAGTCCTTTCTCAAAGATTTACTCATTAACATATTTACTTACATAGATGAGGGAGAAAGTCTCAGTTCAATGCTACCCTGGATCTGACACCTTCCAGCTTTGGGTGCTGGGTCACTTCTGCAAAAGGCTGAGTTGCTAGAGGTGAGGGGCAGGTAGAGGGAATGGACAAGGAGCCTGGGGCAGAGGTGGGGCTGAGGACAGGCTGGCAGAAGCAGCTGGGCCCAGAAGGACTCTTGGAAGCCAAAGGCTTCCTGTGCTATTTTGACAAGATTACACCTGATTCCTCTGAGATGTTCAATGACAACACTTGGAACTACACTATTGATACAAGTAACGCTTGAGAAGTAAAGAGGGATTGCGGGTGGATTATATCACCAAGATCCCTTCCAGCTCCAGCAGTTTATGAAGATACCATCTGTCTTAATCCTTTCCCGAGGAAAGTGTCAGGAGGCAGGGGACTCATGGAAGAACGGTGTCTGAGTGGGTCCCGGGTCTGCTCCGTGCCAGGATGGCTGAGCAAGCAGCACACAGGGGACCCTGCTAGGATCTCAGCCGGGGAGCACTGCTGAGGGACCAAGGGCATCCTAAGCAAAGCCAGGGAACCTCAGCCCCTTCCCATGCATCAGAAGCCAGTGTTATTTGGGACAGTGCCCAAGGAGAGGAGCTGTGTCTTTCTTGCACCCTCCTGTCCTCATGTGGGATTAGGACACACCGAGGTCCTCTGCCCATGTGAAGAGCCACAGGCAGCAGGGGCAGCTGGAGGAAAGAGCTGATGCTGGGCTGGGTGGAATGATGGCAGGACACCTACCTTGGGCAGCAGGTGAGGCTGGGGTTCGCCTGATGGGCTGTTCCTGGGGCCTTCCTCCTCTTGATCAGTCCCCAGGAGCTTCTCCAAGTCACTCGGCAGTGTTCTGCAGATTCCTGACCACAAAAGTGGCTCCTTCAAGGCTCTAAGGCACAGGGACAATGGAACAGTCAGGGCAGGTGGGCAGGGATCCCAGTCCTCCCTGGCCTCCGTACAGCTCCTCCCCGTCTAAGCAGGCCAGGCCCCTCCCCTGTCCAACACGTTGTCAGCATCTTCTCAGAGCTGCTGCAGGGAGCTCAGAGCTCAGATGGGTGAGGGGAATGTGTGACCCCCAGGCTGCTCCCCACTTCCAAATCCAGTGAGTGCCAACCCCAGCATGAGTGAGCCAAGGAGCTGGCACTCATCCAAGCTGAGCAGAGGCCCAAGGAGGTGGAGGCAAGAAGAACCAAGGATAGAACACTGCACTGGGAGTTCAAGCACCAGCTCTGTCGCTTACCCTGCTGAGCTGCAGCACCCGACTTTCCCTCACTGGCGTGGGAGGCTTTAGTCTAGATGCACAGACAGAGCCAGCAGAGCTGAACAGAGAAGAGGTCACAGCAGGCCATAACCATCATCTCCTTCAGAATCTGAGGCTAGCATTTGCTAAAATGCAAGGTGAAGGGGCCTACCTACCTTGGCCCACTGAATGTCCAGCAAGGTGGCTGGGAATCTGTATTTTAGCAAGCTCCTCACACAGATGCACAGGAACTCACACCCAGTGCAAGTGCTGGGAGAAGGCAGACAAGTCCAAGATGACAGTTTTATAACACACATTCAGGGGTCATGGATTTCTTCCCAAAAGCAGCATGATAGGAGTCCAATATCTGCAGAAAGTATAGCCAGAGGGCCCTGGGTAGCTTACTCTCTAGTTCTCATTCTCCTTGTCAACGAAATGAAGATTAGCACTGACCTCAAACTGCCAACGCAACAAGAAATGACCCCACTGAGAAATCTAATAAAGAAGTTCAGGGCTGGCAAGCAGCACAGGGGTAGAGCACTTGCCCAGCACAAGCACAGTCCTGGCTTCCATCCCCAGCATAAATAAGTAAATAAGTAAAATCAAAGAAGCTCAGGCTGGAGCATTTTAACTAGTATTTTCCCTTCTTAACTGATCTAATCTTAATATTCTTAACTCTGAAAGTGACATGCCTGTGAAAGAAAACACTCAAGATAAAATACAATGAAAATGAAATTTAATGTATATGTCCCTGCCATACAGGAACTTTGTCCCAACTCTAAAACATACACATTGTCAAGAGTCCTGTTAAAGTTTTCTTTGCTTCCCCCAAATACAGACACACATGCATGTGCCTGTATCTGTACTTTAAACCAAACAAGAACATATTCTCAGTGCTCTGTCTTTATTTTACTCACTAGTAAACACCACACATCTAGGTATGTGACACAGATCTCATTGTTTAAACAGCTTATAGTGTTTTATGGAATCAATGTGCTAGACTTTATGTGAATGTACCTGTATGGATGGATTTTAGGCTGTTTCTCTATTATTTGGGGGGGGGGGTGTACCAGGAATCAGTGTTTCTCTATTTTTGATGCAGAAAGTTCCAACAAACATCTATGAATCCCCAGGTCAAAGGTCATGTGTGTGTACAATTCTGATCGATGATGCCAGCCTGCCCAGAAAGAGAGCAACAATTTTGCATTCTCTGGGCAAGATAGGAAGGCACCTGCTTCTCCACCTTTGATCACACCATGTGTTTTCAAACTTTTAAACAACATGAAAGCTAAAAGATGACAACTCATCTCAGATTACTGTCAGAATGGGCAGGCATATTTTCACATTTTCAGATCCACCAGCCTTGGCATTTATTTATATTTTGTGAACTGCTTAAGTCCTTTATAATTTATCTTACTGGTTTCACAGACTTTCTAAATTGATTCAACTTTGTATCAAGTTGTCACTTGTCTCTTTGTTTTACCTTACTGTGGCATATTTTGCTTAAACAAATTTCAGGTTTTTATTTTATTTTTTTTCTTTCTGTAGTCAAAACTATCAGTCTCTTCCTGTATGACTTCCAAGTGCTTAGACTTCCTTTACAACTATTTCTCCCTGGAAGCAAGCATTATTTTGATTCCAAAACCAGAGAAAGACCCAACTAGGAAAGAGAATTACAGGCCAATCCCCCAAAATGAACATCGAGGCAAAAGTCCTCAATAAGATAATGGCAAAAAGAGAGCAGCAGGGGGCTGGGGGTTTAGCTCAGCGGCATAAGCACCTGCCTTGCAAGCAGGCAGTCGTGAGTTCGATCCCCGGTACCGATAAAAAGGAAAAAGGAAAAAGACAAAAAAAAAAAAGAGAGAGAGAGAGAGAGAGAGAGCAGCAAATTGTCAAAATGATCAAGTGGGATTCATTCCAGGGATGCAGGGATGCAAGGATGGTTCAACATACATAAATCCATAAATGTAATATACCACATTAACAGAGTCAAGGACAATAATCATATGATCATCTCAGTAGATGCGGAAAAAGCTTTTGACAAAGTCCAGCACTCATTCATGATAAAAAAAAAAAAACCTACAGAAAATTGGAATAGATGGTCTTTATCTCTACCTGATAAAAGCTATCTATGACAAACCAACACATAACATTATACTATGTGGACAAAAACTGAAAGCTTTCACTCGAAAATCAGGAACAAGACAAGGATGTGCACTGTCACCGCTCTTATTCAACATAGTCCTGGAAACTTTAGCTGGAGCAATTAGACAAGAGAAAGAAATAAAAGGAATAAAGGAAAGGAAGAAGTTAAACTATCATTATTTGCAGATGACATGATACTCTACTTAGAAGACCCCAGAAACTCCACCAAAAGATCTCTAGATGTAATAAACACATGTAACAACTGGGTTACAAAATCAACACTCAAAAATCAATAGCCTTCTTGTACACAAATAACAAACTAAATGAGAGAGAAATCAGGGAAAAAATACCTTTAACAGCAGCATCCAAAAAAATAAAATATCTAGGAATCAATCTAACATAGGATGTAAAAGACCTCAATATTGAAAACTACAGTACTCTGAAAAAGGAGATTGAAGAGGATATTAGAAGATGGAAAGATATCTCATGCTCTTGGGTAGGAAGAACCAATACAGTGAAAATGGCCATACTTCCAAAACTGTTACACAGATTCAGTGCAACCCCACTCAAAATCCCAATAGCATATCTCACAGAATTAAAGAAAACAATCCTAAAATTCAGCTGGAACTATGGGACCTAGAATAGCAGAGGCAATCCTGGGCAACAAAGACAAGACAGGGGGCATCAAAATCCCTGCCTTGAAATTTATACCATAAAGCTACTGTGGTAAAAAGTATAGTACTCAAAAAAAAAAACAGACCCAACAAAAAACAGACCCAAAGATAAACAGAACAGATTAGAAGATGTAGAAACAACTCCAGACACACTAAGCCACCTTATCTTTGACAAAGGTGCCAAACACATTAATTGGAAGAACGGTAGCCTCTTAATACATGGTGCTGGAAAAGCTGGCTCTACACATGGCAGAGATTAAAACTGAACCCATCTCTTCACCATGTACTCACCTAAAATCAGAATGGATCAAAGATCTTAATATTAAAACAGAAACATTAAATCTGCTGGAAGACAGAGGAGGTAAAACTCTTGAAGACATCAGTGTAGGCAAAGACTTTATGAACAAAACCCAGATGGCACAGGAACTATCACAAAGAATCAACAACTGAGATTTCACCCTACTGAAAAGCTTTTGCACAGCAAGAGAAACCACCAACAGAAGAGAGAACCTACAACGTGGGAGAAAATGTTTGCCAGCTGTTCCTCAGAAAAGAGGATTACTATCGAGAACTTACAAAGAACTAAAAAAAAAAAAAAAAAAATCAGTCCTCCCAGATTTAAAGAACCAATCCAAAAATGGGCATCTAAGATAAACACATATTTCTCAGATGAAGAAATACAAACAATAAATAAGTGAAAAAATGTTCAACATCACTGGTCATTTGAGAGATGCAAATTAAAACAACACTGAGATTCCACCTCACCCCAGAAATAATGGTTATTATCAAGAAATCAACCAATAAGAAATACTGGAGGGGCTGTAGGGAAAAAGGAATCCTTCTTCACTATTGGTAGGAATGCAGACTGGTGCAGCCACTGTGGAAATCAGTGTGGAGATTCCTCAAAAAACTAGGATTGGAGGTCCCCTTCAACCCAACTATTCTCCTTCTGAGTATCTTCCCAAAAGAATTAAAAACATCACAGCACAGCAATATATGTGCACCCATGTTTTATAGCAGCACAGTTTTTTTAATAGCCAGGTCTTGGAAACAACCTAAATGCCATCAACTGAGAAATGGATAAAAAAACGTGATATTTTATACAATGGAGTACTACCCAGCCATAAAGAAGGATAAACTGGACACTTTTATAGGTAAGTGGATACTCCTTGAGAACATACTCATTAGTGAAATAAATAAGACACACTTGTGTAAATATATTATTTCATTAGTGTGACAAGCTGAAAGCTAAGATAGTTGCACTAGTGATTTCTCAGAGTTTGCTGAAGAGAAGGATTTGTGCTGGTATTGTTCAGACAACTGAATGCAGATGTCCTGTGCTCTGGGTGAATGATTTGGGGATGACAAGGTGCAGTGTACATACATTATTGCCCTGATTGACGTGTTTTGAAATTTTGTGTAGTTTTTCTCCTCCTCCTCCTTTCTTTTTATCCTTGAATAAAATGGATTTGAAAAAAAGATTAAAAATAATAATAAAACTCTTTCTCACTGTCAGCCGTGACGGCAAATGCCTGTAACCCCAGCACTCAGGAGGCTGAGGCAGTCTGGGATCCTCAGCAAGTTTAAGGCCACCAGGCTGAACTTAAAAACCAATCAAACAAAAACGTCTTTCTCACTTGAGGATCAAAAAACATCTCCCCATACTTTCCACTAGTAGAGTTTTCTTATTTTTAAGCCTTGACTGCACCCAGAATTTATATGGGTTCAAGGACTGTGGTGGGACCAGCCTTGATGCTTCCACAAAGGGACCTCCAGACAGCTGCCCTATTCATCTTAAAGGCTCCATACCTGTCCTCCTCTAGATTCAAA